AGTGCATTCTACATAGTTAGCTTGCTAGTGCACTGTGGATATCTACGTGAACAACATGTGAGGTTTGAGTTTGGCATTTGACAAAAGAAGTCATCAATCTTTTAGTGATAACAATATCTTTATCACTTATACTGCCGGTGTAATGCTACTTCCTCCCCAGGCACCAGATGAATACATGAAAGTAGACGTTGTTATGAAAGTAATTGATTGGAATTCTACAAAATATCAGTGAATACACGATGTTCTTTAGAAAGTGGTCAAATGTAACATATAGGCTATATTTGGAATTACACCTTCCCAGTAAAGTACATATTCTAGTACTATTTTGGGTTGAGTCCCATCCGGGATTGGAACCAAAACCTTGGGAGTGAGGCACCTGATCGCCAGCACTGAGTAGATTAGACCGCTGACTTTGTGTGCCGGCGATTTGGTGCCTCACTCCCATGGTTTTGGTTCCAATCCCGTTTGGGACCCCAACCCAAAATGGTACTAGAATCTGTACTTTACTGGGAAAATGTTGTCAAAAGTAGCACAAATGTTGCAAAAGATGCAATGGCAACAGCGGGGCAGTGTGTCTCCTTACCTGAAGTATTTTATTTCTAAAAGACAAGTTTAACATGTGTCGCATTTAAACTCTTGAAGTTTAATTAATGCACATTGTACCTGTGTGGAAGAAATGTTCTTTTTTCTTTGTAAAGTTCGTATCAGTTAAAGTAAAATGTCCCCGTGCCGTCAAAGTGATAACTATCTACGCCTTGCATCATGCTGGATTGTTTAACCAACTAGCTCACAAGCCGTTATAAAAACCGTTAAATTAATCTCAACTAACTCACTCAATAACAGAAAGATTTTTGTTTAATAGAGTATCAGCGGATGACATTTTATCCCAGCATTGCAAAGACAAATATTGCCAGTGGCTTTGAAAACGGTTCGCTATGATGGAATTAAGGCCCATATCTGTAACTCAGGAAGTATGTTGCCTGTCAATCACACGTCGTCCCTCTCATCGTTGTCAATTTCCCAAACATAAGCGGATAACGTGAAAGGGTCAATGATATTTCAGTTTTTCCCTCTCAGTGACACTCAATTTTATCAATGTGTCCGATCTTTGCTGTATTCCCCAATCCGCTTTTCCATACAGAAATCGATAGCAATCAGCAAGATGATGTTCATTTCAAACTTTGTAGTAATCCTTCTCATATGGGGCAGTTTAAATGTCTTCAGAAGCAAATCCCCAGATTGGTGTGGAAACCAGACAGGCCAAATCATGCTAGTCCGTTTTTGTGTATTTTTCATTGAACTGGCAGATTGTTTATTGACGGTCGCTGAATAGGGGTCGGATGAGAAACTTGTGAAAATATGTTTTATACGATTGGCTATTAACCTCTGCTTAAAGTATCTCTTTCGTGTATATTCTCTGCGTGAGCATCAAACGTAAAATAAATATTTGTAACTTGATATCAGATCATGATTTTGTAGAAGTAAGGAATAGAATAATCTCCCATCACGGATGACCTCGGGATTTGAACAGTAGACACTTGCGTCATGCAAATATGACGTTATGAAAGAAGTTTAAGCTCTGGTGTCTTAAGCAAGGCTTATTTAATCGCCGACAGCATAAACTGGATGTCAAAGTGACCATTGGCCCGTCGAGAGAATTGTATGCATGACTGTTGTCTTTATATTCCCTTATCTCTTTTCCCCGCATACAATTGATATCTTAGCTCATCGCGAAACACCTTCTGAACAAAGTGCTAAAAGATACCTTGTATAAAAAGGCTGACAAAAGTACAAAGAAATGTTCGTCTTTTCATGTGTTAATTCTCTGATGCACTGGTAAATGCCTAGACATGAACTGCCAGCGCCAATGAACGCCACGAGAGTAATTGTATGTACCGTATAAGGGGATCAACAGATAACCTTTCTTCCCGTGTCTGTTTAAGCAGTACCGTTGGCAATTCTACAGATGGCCAAAACAAATCAATTATATGTTGGTCGGATTAGCCTGAGACCAGGGAGGAGAGGTGGGCGGTTTTTATGAAGTACAACTCATTTCTAGATTTCGGACTGTGTACATTTTCACATGTTTTGTTACGTTTAGTATCAAAATACGGAGAAACAAACTTTTCCATAATCAGAAGAAACTACACGATTCCGACGATATCATAAGCACGTGTTTATGAAACGCTATCAGACTGTGATAACACCTGGTGTTCACGTCAAGGAAAGCTTATCCTGCCCGTCGGCGTCGCACGTCACAAACACACTCAAAGGCGAGTCAACTGTTTATCTAAAAAGTACGGGAATATACAAGTCTAGGAAATCCTAACCAACACTTTTAGAGCTAAGCATGTCTCATATGCTGATACCTCAACACTGGACAGTTTGATCATGGAAATATTATAGTGAACAGAGTTCTACATGTTTCAGAGCCATGACCGGGAAGTCAGTTCTTCTTGCACGGATGTTCATGAGAGGTAGCCTCAGTATAAAGCTAAAACGGTAGCAGAGAAACAGAACGAAAACCATTGCATTGGAAAGAGAATAAATAAAAGCCATTCCCCCAAACATATTCTCAATAGGGTATTGCGTTACTGTAAACACCCCATCTTGTTCGGAGGAATCTGATCTCTCGAGATTTAAGAATCTAAACAATTCCAACAGTACATGCTACCGTTGAAAGAATGAACAAGACATTCACAACCACTGTCATTAAATTCCCGAAGAACAAACACAATAGACCCCTTGAGTGGCAAGAAATCTCATACATTCGTCCGATAACAAACCATTGGGTCTCGCTCGGGGCATGGTTCCAACCATTCAGAGACACGCTAAACGGAAAGCGCAACACAATCCTACTTAGCTGTCTATGAAAGAGTATTACACATCACGACGATTCTCTATCCCTGTATCCTCGCAAACGTGCTTGACATCAGCCCATTGTCTTCAGAACATTGCGGCCTTGATAAGTTGATACCCAATTAGCACATAATATGCATGTGTCGAAAGGGGCGTTCACTTTCAAAAGAGCCCTTAAGGTCCTAAGACACCGACTTACATGGACGGTAGAAGATGTTAATGGCCTAACTACATTTAAGGTTAAAAGGGTTTGGGCAAGTTGTTCGCTCCCTCTAAGTGTGGCCACGGCAGGAATCTACCGGCAATAATTCCCATCCAATGACATCGTCCTCCATATGAGAGTTCCGTAAAATAACATCGTATGCTTCCTCTCGGGGAATTTAATTACTCGCTGTTGAAAGTCTTCAGCTTGTAAAATGATCACTCAGATTAATGTGCCTGTCATATCTCGTTCCTTCTCGCGGGAGGAATTGGAGCATGTTGAAACAACGATGGTTTCACAGAAAAGCTGATTTTCACAACACATATCGGACAGATAATGTCCTCACTATACCATGTTATATAATGTTCTACCCGATACTGCATAGCATTTACTGAACTCTCTGAACACATCCAAGTGATTTTAAAGAGATGAATGCAATCTTAATGCTCGTATCTTTCTTATCTTACCGGAACATAAACCCAAGACACAATGGGTATAGTTTATGCTTTAATAATGATAAACAAGGGTGATGCGCGTTAAAACATATTTCACATAAGTGTTCTTCTGTTAAAACCGATTAATGGTCGAATGTTAAACACGTGTGTAAGAAACGTGCACATTGTGTGTCATTGTGTTTCATTGTGTGTCAAAAACACTTCAGTGTGTATCATTTTCATCACAAACATGATTACTGTCAAACATAATGTGGGGCGGTGGGGTAGCCTAGTGGTTAAAGCGTTCGCTCGTCACACCGAAGACCCGAGTTCGATTCCCCACATGGGTACAATGTATTAAGCCCATTTCTGGTGTCCCACGCCGTGATATTGCTGGTATATTGCTATAAGCGGCGTAAACTTAACTCACTCAAACATATTATCAAGTCTTTGATGTGCATTTTGCCTTCCACTGACTGCAAATATAACACAAGGTTTGGTATTACCAAGGCTATCCTGGCTCTACTTCTTGGTTCAACTAACCGTCTACAACCTGCATCCCCTCCCACATGTGATATGACTCACGCAGTGGTTTCGTTTACGGCGGGACCGAGGGGGTAGCCTAGTGGTTACAGCGTTCGCTCACCACATGCCACGAACCGGGTTCGATTCTTCACAATTTGTTAAGAAAGTTTCTGGTACCTGGTGAATGACCTATGTTCAGTGTTTCAGGTAGTGAACTAGGTGTTTCTGCAGCTTTATCACAACCACACCTCGGCGCCTTGCAATTAATCTGACAACACGATACTTAAGTGATTGATACAATGACCACTCATGCAGAAAATGACTATTATTATTATATAGATATGCTGGGATGTTACTGCTATAAACGTTATTATTGGTCTTTTGCCAAATATCTGTTTTGTGTAATAGGTATCTTAGCACTATATATTGATTTTTTCCTTAGAAAATGAGGAATAATATTTATGTGGCATCAGCATCGTTTTGTTTACCAATGCCACTAGTTCACGCTTTTCTGTTAAATAGTCCGTCTAATGTCTGAAATGTATGTCCAATATATCCATGTTTGCAATCCCAGAATCAGACAGCAACGACATTAGTATATCGGGACACTGTGCGTTTCGACCAATCGCGATTTTATAAGCTGTAATAGATTTTCAACTTTTGTAGAAAGTACGTGTTATATTTGTACGAAGACTGATGTCGACTGAAGTCAAGTCCATTCAATATTAGGTAAGTAGTGAACGATCTTGTTACTATCCTGTCTCTAAAACACTTGGAAACTTTCCCTTTCAAATCTAAACCGCATTGTCTCCCGATATACGCTGACGCTTGAGCTCTGATGTTGTGGTGAAACTCTTCCACTGATCATGTTTCGTGTGTTTTGTGGTGTCATGTTTTGTAATCTACGTCCACTTTTCGTCCTTGTCTTCTCACATTGATGTACGTTCAAACCATAAACCAGTTTTCCTTCTAAATTACAGGTGGCCCCCCTCAAAATGAAGAAAAACGGTTCCTTCGTTTCGGTCGTACATTGGCAGGGGACAGCTTCCTGAGGTTTGGCAGACAATTCTACAGAATAGGAAAGGATGGGGACGATATGGAGAAAAGATTTTTGAGATTCGGGCGTTCTGATTCAGATCTTGATGACGTCATACGTGCTTCCTTACTCGCATATTCATTGGACGATTCACCAAACAATAGACGCAGGCGATCCGTTGCTACTGCCCCGGTCGAGACCAAGGCTGTGGAGGTGGGAAACAAGGACATTGAGAAAAGAGACGCCGATGAGCTGACCAGTGAAGACAAGCGCTTCATGCGGTTCGGGAGATCTGGAGAAGATGAAAAGAGGTTTATGAGGTTCGGCAAGTCGGGAGAAGAAGAAAAGAGGTTTATGAGGTTCGGCAAGTCGGGAGACGCAGAGAAGAGATTTATGAGGTTCGGCCGGGCTGGGGAAGAAGAGAAGAGGTTTATGAGGTTTGGACGTGATGGAGAAGACGAAAAACGGTTCATGAGATTCGGAAAGAGCGGCGAAGAGGAGAAGAGGTTCATGAGATTTGGCAGGGCTGGGGAAGATGGTGAAGAAATTGAAGATGAAGATGAAGGGATCGAAGCAGACAAGCGTTTCATGAGATTTGGTCGTGACGGCGAAGACGAGAAACGATTCATGAGATTCGGAAAGAGTGGAGAAGATGAGAAGAGATTTATGCGATTCGGCAAACGTTTCATGAGATTTGGCCGTGACGGACAAGACAAGAGGTTCATGAGGTTTGGCAAGAGGTTTATGAGGTTCGGAAAGCGAGATTCTGGTGAAGGCAGTACAGAGAAAGCCGAAACTGCCGAGAGTTAGGTTGTGTCATCAGAAAGACTATGATTCTTTAAACATAGTATATCATATTTTGGGCAATATGTCTCTTTATACAGAAATTGTTTGGGGCGAGAGTGAGGGGTATGGACTGTTCGCTGTTTCACACCCACCACCATTAAAGAACGTGAGTCTATCATTCTGAAACTGCTTGACATGTCCTTGCAGGTTACTGTGGCCAGCTGCCATGTTGGGTGTTCACCTTTGTTTACGTACATACATTGATTGATTGTTGAAGTATTTACAATGAAACTGTAAATAAATTCCATCCAAACATGGATCATCTTCATTTTCTTTTCAAATTTGTAAAGGTCGGTTCGTTTAGATTTGAAGACAAAGAACATGGGTAATTGCTTTAACGTTATAACATGGCAGTGACGTCATGTTGAAGTGTCACGCTCATGTCTATATGACAGTTATGACTGGGTGGTGAGGTAGCCTAGTGGATAAGGTGATCCCGTGTCACGCTGTAGGTCCAGGTTTGAATCACTACATGGGCACAATGTGTGAAGCCCATTTCTAGAATCCAATAGTGATATTGTGATAATGTTTCTAAAAGAGACTTAAAAATCATATTATTTCAAACTCCACTTGTTTCCAGACACGCTGCCGGTCTCTTCTCTGCGAAGGATTATGTCCCTTTAGCTAACTGGATACGCTGTTTGGGGATTCGAAACACAGTTTGTGTTCGATAACAATCATCGGTTCCTCAGCACCTTCGCTTTTTATGATCACAGAAACAGTAAACGTCAACACTCTACACCACTTTCATTACATACTCCGTGTGAATCAACATGTCTGATAACCGTGAGAATAGCCATTCTATACCGACGCACTTTGATAAACAGAGTAATCTATACGTTGTAACATATCATAAAAGCAATGTAATGTATCATCTTGACAAACTTACAATATATCACTAAGTCTTGATTTGATTGTAAAGTTCTCGTACTCATACCATATCATTTTCCACTTATACATTAAACATCAGCCTTGAGAATAACAGGTCTCCATTATCTGTCCATACAGATTCCCTTGGGCTTGAAAGCCGAATAGCGGCGAAAATGTTATGAATAGATCCCAGAAAATCAGTGATATTCGCGAAAAGACAAAGACAGTCCTGCTCGACTGGTAACACTCAACATGCACATAGGAAAATCAAGCTGAGAAAAGAAATGAAGAAGAGGGTAACCATCGAGTAGTCATTTTGCGGCTCTGTGCTTGTTGACATGAATTTCTTTGTAACGTATTTAGACGACGTGACACTATCGTTCTTCAGGGCCGTCGGTGTGACAATGTATGTTAGTGCACAACTGTTAAGTACATGGTTGATCCAGAGACGACCTCAGCGGAATAGTGGGCGGTATGCTGGCCGAGAGGGGTCGTTAGTCAGGCCCATTCCCATATGGGTACGATGTGTGAAGTCATCTGGTGCACCGAATATTTTTGTAAAGTTGACACTTCATAAATTGTGACATTATGACATGTGCTAACTTATTTTTAAGTTAAAAATGTTGTTCTTGTTAAGTTAAGTCCTGACGTCGAATGTTGTGTTACTATAACATTAGAAGCAGATTCCTATTTCAGTAGTCCAGTCAGTGAAGCGCAGTTCAAATCCCTTGCCAAATTAGGATACACGGCAGTGATTAGTTTCTGATAGCAATTAACATTGCTGAACATCGGACAGGTCTGGGATAATTGAAATAACACATTAAGGGCGACACATCGCTGGCAGTACCTTCGGACCCGAAAATATTTGTTCTCGTAAAAACCATCAATTATTAAACATTAACTTTGGATCCCCCCATCGACTTGCTCCCCTCGGACTCTGCGTGAATAAGATGCTTCTTATGAATTCTTCATGCACATTGATTAATGTAGATACCACCGCTATTTTCCTTTTCACTAAAATATAATCGTTTTTCACCAGGTGTTAAGAACCTAGATGAAATTATCAAAAGCTAACGAACTTGATTGATTAACTCAATGATACCTATGTCTTGCGTTATTTCCTGAAAAAACCCGTCATTTTTTAAAACGAATTGGGCTTTTTGTCCATTTACAGCTTTCTACGAAACTGATTTGTCTTTGATGTGAAGATCAGATAAGCCTATCTTTATTCGACCAAAACGTACATAAAATATAACTTATGAAGTATAAGCCTGCTCTTAGAAAAGAAAGCTGTTCTTTAATTGGTGACGATTGTTGATCTGAGTTATTTGCTGAATCTAATGACTCGTTAAATGTCGCAATCGGTAAGTATGGACCAGACATTGCGGTGATCGATATTGTGAGCGAACAACGCCGCGGGGGTACGATGACTAGCTGTTGAGCGGTCCGCCTTTTTCGACCAGCATAGGTTACTTGAGACATGTTCTGACCCGGATGTCACATAGTGTGACTCATTGAAACATTGAGCTGCAATACAGCGTCATCGTTCCAATGTCAGATTTTAGATTAGTATTGTCCAGAACAAACACAAAGTACATAAAGTACACATCCCGTAATACGCATGTTAAAACATATCTTTGAAGGGTATTTATTCTTTTAACAAAAATGTAGCGCTAACTGTTAATATGTGAATGTCAAATGTGATTTAGAAATGAAAAGCTTATAATAATTTATTGTTATTTGGTTGATGCGTGGTATTAATTCCGATTCCATTATTTACTCGTTTGCGTGGTCGAGACTCGAGAGTATAGGTAGAATACTGTTGAGTGCACTAACAGCCAACAACACACTCTGGTTAACTGAACTCAATATTACATGTACATATGTTCTGTGTCAGATATCACAGAAACAAGAAGAAAAATCAATCTGCAATATTATCAATTAAAAAGCTAATATGCGATCTTTGCCTGGAGCAATATGAATCAATACTGTTTGTAATAGCCAGTCTCTATCATCCGCCCAGATTCCACATGACTTAAAGAGCTAACATGTGGCGAAATTACAAGAATAAATCACGTATCCAAGGACATTTTTATGCACACGTGATTCTAAAAATTCGCACAAATTTGCATAGTGAGTAAATGAAGGTTGCTTCACGTGGACATCTGCAATATTTGATACATATCATCGCATTCTGTTGTAAGCCCACTACGGGCCATGCAAAATAGTACATGCAGCCGATTATTAGGATGTAAGTTAGTTGAGTCAGGAAAGGTTACCGTAGTCGTCGGGCAGTCAGAATTAACTTAAGTTAATTTGTGCTCACCACCGTCAGTCAAGGATAACTTGACAAGGGAAAATTCATATACGATACATAACAGCTGCTAGGAGGAGTATTTCGCATATAACTATGAGAGGTGAGCAAGCGTTGTACAGCCTGACAGAGTCACTGTATCCCTTCTATTTCATGTACGTTAAAGTAGCCTAGTGGTTGAAGCGTTCGCTTGTCACGCCGAAGACTCGGGTTCGATTCCCCACATGGGTACAATGTGTGAAGCCCATTTCTGGTGTCCCCGCCGTGAAACTGCTGGAATATTGCTAAAAGCGGCGTAAAATCAAAACTAACCGATGTACGTTAAACGCTAAGAATGTTCAAAACATAGTTAAGAACCTCAGATACAGTATGAAATCCTAATGAATTAATTCTTTAAAATGAAACCAATTAACCTGGAATCTGGAACCTTCCGCAACCAAGGAGTCCAGTAGGTGCGGGCAAAGCATTCCAGCATCAGTTGGTCAAGCATTTAACATACATTGGCCAAAGTGGGTTCACTAGAATCGAGCACTGTACTGATCTAGACAGCTAGTAGTGTGATTCATGGTAGCCATAGTGGTCCACGAAGGCTGGACAAAACTATTTAACTACCATCTTCTGTATAGAACAAACTTTATGGATAACAACTTCTTTTATTTCGTAAGTGCGATGTGTCGATACAGATTCTTGTACCGATTCACTGCCACTGTTAATGGTACAAGAATCTGTATCGAAACGTCGCACTCACGAAGTAAAAGAAGTTGTTCATAAAGTTAGTTCTGTATTGTACTTCCCAACTTTAAAATGCCACTCAAAGAAGTCACCATCTTCTGTTTGGTCTCACCTAACGAAATTAAAATGAATCCTGAGAATAATCGAGTATCTGTGTAAATCTGAATCACATTTTAAAGGATAAATAGTGCAGAGTCTTATATGGAAGGGTCACTGATAATTATTGATGACACCAGGTGTTCGTCGGAAGGGTAAGCATGACCTGCCCTGTTGGTAGTACCGTTATTATATACAATAGTAAACAATATATCGCATTATTTGATAATAATCTCCACTCATGTTTGGAATACGCTCAGTATATCAGTTATAGTTAAAAACGTCTAAGGGAGAGCCGCCGCCATATAGCTGAGATATTGCGGAGTGCGGCGTAAAACTAAACTCACTCACTCTAAGGGAGAGAACATGCCCTTTAAACGTCCCGTACTTTTGGTTTGCCAGAAACCCAAGTTGAAGGTTAAAATCCCAGTTCCGCCCTAATTGTGTACTTTAATGATTTGTCAGAATCATACACGTAATAGCAGGATTCATCAAAGTGGTGAAAATTTCAGGATTTCCATAACGTAGCACACATGATACTGAAACAGTGTTGTGACTTAAATAATGCTCAATCAATCACTCACTTAGAAGGAAAGAAACAGCGTTAACCTAACTGTCTAAAAGTATGAATTACTTTCATTAATGGAAGGTGAAACCAAGTTTTTAGTTCACGCAACAGCCGAAAGACAAAAACCCAAACTGTCAAATTCAGGAGAGGTGTGGGGAAAGGGTGTTTAGCTGTCAAGATAGTTACATTAATCTAAAGGCAAGCGTGGGTGGCCACTTGCACTGGCTCTATAGGCACTAGACCGGATAAACCTAATGCAATTTTACATGAAAACCCGCTGAGACACAGTGTACTGTCCCCGGGCCAATCAGGTGTTTGTCCCTGAAGGCAGGACGCCACGTAACACGTACCATATCGTATCACTTCTGACGCGGCCAGGGGATCGAACCACGGACAGCCCACCCTCGGGGCACTCGCTCTATAGACACTACGACACCCGGGATGCTGTTTTATTCATTATGTCTGCGGTTAAACAAAGAGAGACGCACAGGGCGATAAATCAATTAGAAACAACCCAGAAAGTTATATCACGAACTTATATACTCACAATATATTCTGTTGATATAGCCATCAAGGTTCTTAAAACGTACAACTCAGTACAGAAACCAACCCGACAGAGAGAGATATTCAAATCCCATGGAGAACAATGTAATCTGTAGTCAGTGTTGTGGCATTGA